GTCTTGTTTTCTCAGCAGACCGTAACGTCCTCAACTCCCATCTAGGATGCTGCATCAGTATGTTCGCCAGTTTCGTCAGGGGCTGGTCCGTAGGCGGCCACTGGGGCCCCGGGAGGAGTCTGAGAGTCACAGAGCTCCTCTGAGCACCCTCGACCTGGTGATCTTGGGTGTGGGCAGGACTCTGGAGGCCTGCGTGTACGTTCTGATTGGTGTCATGACCCTGCTCATAGCTGGACCGGCGATCATCATCGCCTTTTTGGTGGTTGCCCTGTCTTCTGTGTTGTCTGGACTCTGCTATGCCGAACTTTGGGCTTGGGTACCACGCTCCGGTTCTGTGTATCTCTACAGCTACGTCACCATGGGAGAACTCTGCGCCTTCGTCATTGGCTGGAACCACTTACTGTATTTAGTGGCTGGTGAGATGATGGGGAGAGGGACGAAGTGGGGCTTAAGATCAGGAAACTAGGAAGGTAACTGGGGTCTTCACTCATTCATAAAGACTTTCTTATGGGGCTTGTAGAGGGAAGCTCCAGAAAGCCCCACAGCTTCACTGTACTGAGCTATCCTGTTTTCTTTAAACGTGGGCCGAGAACCCAGAGGAAAGGGCACTGTAGGGGGTGGGTGAGAGGGAGGCAGTTCCCACAGGCTCCTCCCCTCACCATATGGAAGTCTTTGCTCAGCTGTTGCCTTCAAGGGACTTTCCTTTACTACTTGATTTAAAATTTCAACACTCATCTCTCAGCCCTCCTGGTCCCAATTCACTGTGTTATTTTCTTGCATAAGTTTAATCTCCTCTTAACATTAAATAGTTGACCTATTTTTTGAATCATCTGATTCTTCTCTCCCCCATCCCATGAAAAGAAACTATTTGAGAGTGAGTATTTTGTTTGTTTTCCCCCTAAATACATCCCAGTGTGCATTGTAGGGGTTTAATTATTGTCCATTAATCTCCATTCTTCTGCCTCTGCAGCTGCTTCCTGCTTGACCAGGGCTTGGAGCTTTGCCTTTGACAGCCTCATTGGGAACCACATCTCTCAGGTGTTAGAGAGAACTTTCTCTCCACACATGCCCTCTTTCCTGGCTCCGTACCCAGACTTCATTGCCCTGGGCCTGGTGCTGCTGATGACTGGTGAGAAGGGGTGAGACATAGGATGGAAAGAGTGGGGTTTGGAGGGGGAACTGGTGTGGGAAAGCTGTGGGGTGGCAGAAGGTAGAATTAGGACTGTAAAGAAGGATTGGGGTTATGATTAAGGGCGGCAAGGCACATAGACCATTGCTCTCCCACCCTGGCACCCTTGACAGTTTGTGATGCTTCATCTTTTGGTGTTGAGGGCTGTTCTGAACTTCACACTGTAGGGTTTTGTTTTTTTTATTTATAAATCATAGTCTAATGTTGAGTTGCATCCCCAGCCTTACTTACTATATACTGGTGCTAAATTGTGATCATCAGAATGTCTCCAGACATTGTCAAACGTCCCTTGAGTAACAAAACCACCCCAGCTCAGAATCATTTACTTAGAGTGACAAATTTCTTCCTCTCTGTTGAGACCAGATTTTTTTAAATTGAGAGGCTATTCTCATAGCATAAAACTGATTTATTGCCTTTCCCAGTTTTATTGAGATATAATTGACTTACAACATTGTATATGTTTAAGGTGTACAAAGTGGTGATTTGACAGCTGTGTGCTGTGAGATGACTGGCACAGTAAGAAATTAGCCGTCTTAAAGTGCTTGTATCTGCCTGGGTGCTCAGTCATTTCAGTTATGTGCAACTACTTGCGACCCCATGGACTGCAGCCCATCAGGTTCCTCTGTCCATGGGGTTCTCCAGGCAAGAATACTGGAGTGTGATCCAGGGATTTTTCCTGATCCAGGGATTGAACCTGCATCTTCTTCTGTATTGCACACAGATTCTTTACTGCTGAGTCACCAGGGAAGGCCCTTAAACTGTAGAGTTCAGTGGGACTTAGTACCTTCACAGTGTGGCAACCATCATCTCCGTCTAGTTCCAAACATGTTCATCTCCCCAAAAGGAAACCCTGTGCCCACTGAACAGTCACTATCCACCCATCCACCCCACCCCCACCACCCTCTAGCCCTGGCAACCACTGGTCTGCTTTCCGTGTCTCATATTCCATCTTTCCCACAAGACTATTGGTTCTGGGAGCTCGTATGACAACCCTGATTTTCAAAGTGTCTACAGGCTTGAACCTTTCTGTTCCCATCTTCATGATCCTCTCTGGCTTCATTAAGGGAGACCTGCACAACTGGCAGCTCACAGAACAGGACTACAGATCAGATACATCCAGATCCAGCAGCACCTTTAGGTCAGGAGGGTCCTCTTGGTAATACATGGGTGGTGGTGGCACAGAGCTGGGAACATGGTGGGGACTGAAGACATCTGGGCTGGTGGATCCAGGTGATCGGGGTCCTGGAGCCCATGACTTGAGGTATGAAGGGAGGAGCCCAGTAGAAGTGGCTGAACTCACCTCACCCATGTTTTTCATCTCTCCTTCTCTCACCATAGATTGGGCCCTCTGGGTTCTGGAGGGTTTGTGCCCTTTGGCTTTGAAGGGATTCTCCAAGGAGCAGCTATACTTTTCATCTCATATTTTGGTGTTCATGGCATGGTCATTGCAGGTAACATGATCACTGTGTGTCCCATCAGGGGTGTGGCCACTGGTTGGGCTGCTCTTGGGCACAGGGGTTGGTAGAAGGTTAGACCCTGAGGCTGGGAAAGATTGAGGGCATAGGAGAAGGGGACAACAGATGATGAGATGTTTGGATAACATCACAGACTCAGTGGACATGAGTTCGAGGAAACTCAGGGAGATGGTGAAGGACAGGGAAGCCTGGCGCGCTATAGTCCATGGGGTTGCAAAGAGTCATACATGACTGAGTAACTAAACAACAAAAGCCTGCTTTTGGACTTGCAAGAGGAAAGGGGATTTTCTGCTTTCATTCAAGCATCTTTCCTGACCCAGTACTTCCTCCTCTCCTGCAGGGAAGGAAGCCCCAAATCCTCAGCGTTTCATCCCCTTGAGCATGGTGATCTCCATCTTCACTGGCTTTCTGGCATCGAGTCTGGAGTTTCAGCGGCGCTCACCCTCATGGTGCCCTACTACCAGATTTACCCTTACAGCCCCTTACCACAGGCTTTCCTCCAGGTCGGATGGGACCCGGCTGCATATGTCATGGCTGTTGTCTTACTGTGTACCCTTTTATACAGGTCAGTGTCCTGGTTTTCTCCCCATCTACCATCAGATGCTCAGGTACCCCAGCCCTTGTGGTTGAGAGACAAGAAGAAGGACACCATGTAGACAGGAACCGTGTAGACTAGGAACCGAGGGTGCCCTGGTCTCTCCTGCTTCTACACATCCTCACACATCTTTCCCTTTTCTCTTCCAGCTTCCTATGTGCCATGGTCTCCATGTTTCAGTTGACCTGCGCAGTGACAGCTGCTGGGCTCCTTTTCTGAGTTCTTGCCCAGATCCACACCCGTACTGGCACCCCTATCATGGCCATCTTGGCTTCTGGAACTCTTACAGGTGAATAAAGGAAGCCTTTTCTTTCCTTTTTTTTTTTTTTTAAATAATTCTATGTATTTATTTTAAATGATTTATGATTGCTTTACAAAATTGGTTTGATATCTGTCATACATCAACATGAACCAGGCATAGGTAAACCTATGAACCTTCCCTCTTGAGTCTGCCTCCCACCTCTCACCCCTCGAGGTTATTACAGAGCCCCAGTTCGAGTTCCCTGAGTCATACAGAAAATTTCCATTGGCTGTCTATTTTGCATGCATTACTGTATATGCGTCCATGCTACCCTCCACTCATTTCACCCTCTCCTTCTCTCTTGCCCTTGTCCGTCAGTCTGTTTTCTATGTCTGCACCTCCATGGCTGCCCTGCGAATAGCTTCATCAGTACCATCTTTCTAGATTCCATATATATATGCATTAATATATGATGTTTGTTCTTCTCTTTCTCACTTACTTCTCTCTGAATAACAGGCTCTAGGTTCATCCTCCTCTTTAGAATTGACTCAAATGAGTTCCTTTTTTTATGACTGAGTAGTATTAAAAAGCAGAGACATTACTTTGCCAACAGAGGTCTGTCTAGTCAAGGCTATGGTTTTTCCAGTGGTCATGTATGGATGTGAGAGTTGGATGGTGAAGAAACCTGAGTGCCGAAGAACTGATGCTTTTGAACTGTGGTGTTAGAGAAGACTCTTGAGAGTCCCTTGGACTGCAAGGAGATCCAACTAGTCCATCCTAAAGGAGATCAGTCCTGGGTGTTCATTGGAAGGACTGATGTTGAAGCTGAAACGCCAATATTTTGGCCACCTCATGCAAAGAGTTGACTCATTGGAAAAGACCCTGATGCTGGGAGGGATTGTGGGCAGGAAGAGAAGGGGACAACAGAAGATGAGATGGCTGGATGGCATCACCGACTCGATGGACATGAGTTTGAGTAAACTCCGGGAGTTGGTGATGGACAGGGAGGCCTGGCATGCTGCGATGCATGGGGTCGCAGAGAGTCGGACACAACTGAGCAACTGACCTGAACTGAGTATTCCATTGTATATGTATATTCCACAGCTTCTTTATCCATTCATCTATCAATGGATCATTCTTTCCTATGACCAATTTCTTTAACATGAATGTTTCCAGGGACTTCTCATTCCCTCCCCCGACCCTCATTCTAGGGTTCACAGCATCACTCCTCAGGATCCTCGATCTGGTGAAACTCATGTCAGCCGGGATCCTGCCTGCTTACACCCTTGTAGCAGTTTCTGTGCTTGTCCTCAGGTGAGACCCACTAACCTTGGCTGAGAGCCTTGGACTCTTGGGGGTGATGGGGAAGTGATACTCTTCTGCCTTCTTGCTGCCTTCTATATGTCTCACTAGGCTTAAGGCAAGAAAGAGATAGATTATACTGTCTGTGTTGAATGGGTAGGAACTGCTGTGAATACTGCCCTGATATCCCTCCTTCAGGTACCAGCCAGACCAGAATTTAAGCAAGAAGGGGAAAACAGAGAAGGGAAATGAGACTTCTGATCTTGAAGCAAGTCCTTCAGAACCTGTACCTGAAGCAGGACCTTTAAGGATTCTAAAGAGTCTGTGGTTCCCTACCAGCACTACCCCCACCCAGATATCTGGGCAGATTGTCTATGGATGTGCCTCTCTGCTTGGTGAGCAGTGGGATTTCTCTTTGGTCATATTTTGAAATTGACAAGATAGGTTGGGATTGTGTCTTTGGTAGTTGAGAAGGGGTCTTGGAGATATGATGGCCCTTCCTGAGGTGGGCAGCCTGGGGAGGGGTGTGACCCCAGGTCCTGACATCTTTGTCTTCTGGGTCCAGCCTGTTCTTCTCCACCTTGACCCTTGCAGTTCTCCTCCTGTCAACCCTGAGCCTGATCCTGGCCCAGTGGCCCAGCCAGGTGTTCTCTGGAGACCCCGTGCTCACAACAGTGGCTGTGCTGCTGCTGCTGCTCATCACTGAGGTCATGGTCATCATCTGGAGGCAGCCCCAGAGCCCCTCTCCTCTTCTGTTCAGGGTAGGTGACCTTATGTGCTCAGAGTGTCCACCTTGAGTGAATGAAGCCTGCATGCTTGAGGTTTAAACATCTTTGTTGGACTAGGGAGTAAAGAGAGTTGCTAAAACCAATGAACCCTTCCCGGATCCACACTCACTGCTTTACAGACCCAATCTGGGCAGGAACTGAACACACAGCCTGAGTAAGACTGGATCCTTCCCACAACCGTGGGGCAGGATCTCCTTTTCAGACGTCTGGGGTGTGTTCAGGGATGAACTGACTCTGCCCACAGGTCCCTGCTCTGCCTGTCCTCCTACCGGTGAGCATCTTTGTGAACATTTACTTGATGATGCAGATAACCTCTGAGACCTGGATCTTATTTGGCATCTGGATGGCAATTGGTAAGAGGCTTTTTTGGGTGAAGAATCCTCTTGAGTGACCGAATCCAATCCTCTTCCTAGAAGCCCTCCCCAAAACTGTTAGATGCCATAACAAGAAGCCTACTGGGCATTTGTAGGTGAGGAGAGCACCTACTTTCCCTTCTCACTGTCTTATTTTCCTGCTAGGACCTGTCATATACTTAGGATATGAGATCCGACACAGCCTGGCAGGGAACAATCATCAACAGCCACCAGCCTTCACCCCCCAGACTCTGGATTAAAACATCCCCAGTGCTGAATCTGCCTAACCCAAGGAAATTAATGCTATGTGGAATCCCTCCATTCCCTGGAGGTATCTTCTGGTTTAAGGGGCACTTTGAGCCTCTGTGGAATGTGAACATGCGGTGCATTTATAGTTCTGTATTTATTGCCATTGGATGTTGTATATATTTAAAGCAAACTTTTAAAAGCATAATAGACATACTTAAAAGTACATGCTTTCTAAGTGTGTAGCAAAACGAATTTTCACAACAAAATTACCACAGTGTAGCCAGTAACCAGAGGAAGAAATAAAATATGAACCAGACATGTGAGAAACAACTTCTTGTGACTCTTCCCAGCAAGAACACAGAGACTGCCATTTAGGAAGGAAACACAGGTAACTACATATTTTGTCAAGACTTACACTTTAAACATTACAACACAAACAGACTGGAAGTAAATGTGCAATCACACAAGAAAGTCAGGGTAGCTGTATTACTATCCAAGTAGACTTTGAGAAAAAGAGAAATAATACAAATAAAGTGAATTATTTCACCATGAAAAGAGAAATGATTATATTTCTCTTTTCTCCCAGCTTTACTGAGACAGTGTTACATTGTGTAAATGATTGTTTTTCATTAGCTTTCTATCTCAGACTCTTAGAGTAACTCAGTTGAGCTGATGAAGAAAAGGTCTGAATTTAAAAAACCAACCAAACCAAAACTCCTACATTGCCAGAGGTGGGGAAATGGGGTCATAGGTAATTGCTGGCTGATAAATGGTTACTGATGGGTGTAACTAAAAGGTAAGAAGTTAAAAGTATAACTAAAAGATAATTTTCAGTGTAAGAAAAAGTTAGTAACTTTTAGTGTAATGGAAAAAAAGAGTGCAACCAATGTGTAACTAAAAAGTAAGAAGTTATCTTGGAGAGACAAGACAAAAAGATGTTGCTACAGAATAGAATGCTCAAAATCGAGATTATGAACATTCAAGAAGCTGGTAAGAATGAAATAGAGGATTGTTTGTGGGAATAAACAACTGAAGTAGAGTGAAGGGAGAATGGATGTCAAGAAACCAAATACAAGTTATTAGATGAATCTAAGAATAAATGGAGGAGGATGAATAGAATTTGGAAAATCACTACCTTGCAAGAGCTAATGAAATTACAGGCTTAGGATGCAATTAATGGAGACTGCACCTTTTGGGTAAAACTTTGATAGAACAGGTTGGCACCACCTGATTATCATTCTTCCTTATTGACGTGGGACAACCAGATCTCACGTGATACCCAATGTGCTGTAAGAGGCAATACACAACACTGCCCATAAAGTAGTCCTGAAGAAAATCTGGATCAGAATTAATCACGTCTTTAGATCAACTACAAGCTCATAGCAGACATAGGGATAGATTCACATTTCAACTGAAAACTTCATCAGCCAGAGACTTCTCCGGAGACTGTGGGTAGGGATGGGAGGGGGAGGGGATGGTGAGGAGACAGGTTCCATCCCTGGTCAGGTAACCCACATGCCAAATGAAGCAGCCAAAACTAAAAGTCAGCCAGATCAGAATGTGGATAATTCTCCACGAAAGAAAAACGGTACACTTCTGTAACAATCAAATGATATAACCCACAGTGGAGAGTTAATACAAGCATACCTTGGAGATATTGCTGGCTTGGTTCTACAAAGTTGACATAAAAGAGAGTCAGGCAGTTTTTTGCCTGTTTGTTTCCCAGTGCACATAAAAGTTATGCTTACACGACGCTGTAGTCTATTTGGTGTGCAGTAGATTTCTGTCCCCTCCCCCAACAAAAACTAATATACATACTTTAAGCTCCTCGGCCCTTTTATGTTCACCTTCTTAGACCTTAATCATAAAGATGAGATCATTAGGAAACATTTAACTTAGCTCCTGATTTCTGCTTTCCTAAATATACACAGGGGCTTCCCAGGGGGCTCAGTGGTAAAGAATCCACTTGCCCATGCAGGAGATACAGAAGACATGGGTTTGATCCCTGAGTTGGGAAGATCCTCTGGAGAAGGAAATGGTAACCCACTCCAGTATTCTTACCTGAAAAATCCCACAGACAGAGGAACCTGATGGGCTACAGTCCACAAGGTCAGGGAGAGTCAGACATGAGTGAGATATACATGCAAATATATGCAACACCTTAACTAAACTGTTGATTCCTCTTCTGGACTAGAAGGAATAAGAATGAAGAATTAAGTAGTTAAAGGGATTTACCTGGCTCTGGTGGTGAAGACCCCATGTTCCCAATGCAGGGGGCATGGCTTCAGTCCTGGGTCATGGAACAAAGAAGTCGAGTGCTTCAGGTTGTGGCCAAAAAAGAAAAAGAAAAAGAATTAAGTAGTTTAAGAATGACTACCCCTTGCTTCCTCTTGGTAAATTTGCAAGTGGACCACAAGGGCAAGAGAACCTCCAGTTGCAGGTGGATCGCACAAGCAAGACAACGTCCCAGGGAAGACAGAGGGAAATCAGCAGGCTTGCAGTAATGGGGAAATGACAGGGAATCTGACCTCCGGCCTTAATGATTCATTGAGCTTTTTTTCCCTTTAAAGATTCTCATGGCTGAGGAAAACTGGCATGGACACAAGTCCACCTTCTCCCCAGGTTGCTGGCTTTTCTGAATAAAGCATCTCTCTTCTCTACAGAATCTTGCCCCTTGAGTTATTGTTGGTCAAGAAGCAAGTGGCCAAACCAGCGATCGGTTACAAAACTAACTGCTGACTAGAGTAGGGAATGGCTCAATGCAAGTCAACAAGCCTTTGAGTTTATATGCCCAGGGCGACTCCTCTATCTTCATGCACAATGATGAAACATGGAAATTTATAGGTAGGATGGCCTAATGCTGGAACCTGGGTGAATGCAGATGTTAAAGCATTGGTAGCCTTTTCTCCTTCTGACATTCATTCAGTTGGGTCTGGTTGGGTAGAGTTTAGCAATGCATAGAGAGCGTGGGCAATGCAGGAACATCTAGGCACCTAATTCTCCCAGTGTCTGGTTTGGCATAGAAATCCCCTGAATTTTGGGGAACTGAGAAAGCCAGGGTTCCCTTAATTGTTTCAGAATCAATCAACAATCTTCCTTAGATATGAAATGACCTAAATATTTCACTGTTTTCACAGTTTTGAATTGTTGTGTTGGAGAAGACCCTTGAACTGCAAAGAGATCATACCAGTCAATCCTAAAGGAAATCAATCCTGAATATTCACTGGAAGGACTGATGCTAAAGCTCCAATACAGTGGCCACCTGATGCAAAGAACTGACTCACTGAAAAAGACCCTGATACTGGGAAAGATGGAAGGCATGAGGAGAAGGGGACGACAGAAGATGAGATGGTTGGATGGCATCACCGACTTGATGGACATGAGTTTGAGAAAGTTCCGGGGAATGGTGATGGACAAGGAAGCCTAGCATGCTGCAGTCCATGGGGTTGTAAAGAGTCAGACACGACTGAGCAACTGAATTGCAGTATTTCACAACTGGTGAGCAGAATTGCAATTTCTCCTTGGAGGCATTATGCCCTCTAGAGGCTAATATCTGTGACAGATGGACACTGTCTAAACCCTCGACAACACTTTAACCACTTAAACCACTTAAACCAACCTTAAATCAAGGTTGGTTAAACCAACCCTTAAACCACTTTACTCCACCCTGTGTAGTTGGATTTTTGAAAAAAAAAAATTATTTACAGTATTATGAGTCAACTATACTTCAATTAAAACAAAGAAGTTAATGTAAGAGTCAACTACTACATTTAAGTCCTGTTTTGATGGTCTGTGTCCAGGGTCTTATCTTAGGGGTTACTTGATAGATTTCAGAATCTAGTCAACCCTTCACCAGTACCCCACCCCACTCCCTTCACCACTCCCCTTCCCGCTCCCTGGTTTTCCTTCCTGAAGACTGGAGCTCCTGACCTCTTACATCCCATTTCCCTCCTTGCCTGTATGCTAAGCAAACAGAACTCCTTGAAGAAGAAGACAAGGAGGACA